GAATTTAAGAAGTCAACACCAAAGTGAAAGGCTCCAACTGTTCACCAAGAAACACCTTCCACTGCAAAGACCAAGACGTGATGTTTCTGTAAAACCACAAGAACAAGAAAGTGCAGCTCAGTCTGTTTGTCTTCTGCTCCTCTACATTAACAAACGAGGTTTTGTTTTGTTGTCGCTCCACATACAAAATGTTCTCTGTAAACTCGGGATGATTTAGTCAGACAAATGTTTCCTTTTTGGTTCTTCCTGTGGATCAATCCTGCCCATCACCTTCACCTTTCACTATTTTTCAATTCCGTTGGGAAGAGAAACAGTTTGAACAGAGGTTTGCAGTCACACACATCTGATTCACTTTTGCATTTATGGAGTTCACAAACACATTTCTCGAGTCGTTTTCCGCTGTTTGGATCCAACAACCACAACAATTAACGATGTCTGAATCTCAAAACTAAAATATGACAATATCAGAACCAGAAACAAAAGTGATATGGTTCAAAAGACTTGAAAAGATCGACTTCTGACAATAGACACGTCCCACTGGGAAAACAAACATGGAGGTTTGACGCTCACTTTTTCGGAGGATCCTTCCCAGTGTGAATTGCGCGATGATCGGAAGTCTGAGATTCTTGATGCGTCTATACAGCGAACATAGAGCCTACACTGTGACTGAAGCACGGAATCATCCACACGTCCACGTAGCTGCTGCCAACAGGGTAAGCGACATTTACAGTAATAACAGTCGACTTATGACGTTATGTTTTGTAGACGTTTCACTGGTGACATGGAACTGAGTGATTTGCTGATGATTCTCGGTCGTCTGTTCGCTTGTAAACACAGCGGCACCTCTTCGTTCTTACCTGGGTGCAGGTACAGCGGTGCTCTTCAAAAAAGATTTCTTCCTTTGTCTTGGGCATGAAGGAACATCATCTTCGTCGCTGAATTGCGCACTACACACGCAAAGCTTTTTTTATCTTTGGTTTCCACATTGAAGCAAGAAGCCAAAGTTTCCTCAGTGCAAAGTCAGGACAGGAAAACGGTGAAATGTGCCCCGAGATTCAGACAGATTTTTGTTGTTACAGCCTGGATAATCAAGAGTTCGCATCATTTTTAGATATATTCTTATGTATCTTATCCAAGCTTATATACTTATGGCTCTAGCTCTCTCGTTAACTCTCTCACGTCGCGACGGTTTGAGCATGTAAACACTGACAAACAACTGAAGAAAGTGATGGACTCGTGCGCGGCCGTCACCTGGCGGCAGCGCGCAGTGATACGAACGGAGAGAAAAAAGGACCAAGAGATTATGAGGTCTGACTTTTTTGAGGACGATGGTTTTGTGATGCAAATGTATCTACTCTTTTGAACACAGATTGTTTTGAGAAGAAAAACACTTTATTATACAGTCCCCAGACAACTTGCCCGACGACTTTCATCAGCACCGGAAACGGCCAGAGTCTCGACTCACCGGACGCTGTGGGGGGTGAGTCAGTGTTGATGCACGACACTGCTCACGGGGACGACACACAGATTCATGTAAAAAAAAACTATTCCTTTAAGAGTAAAGATTGTGTATAGGAACATCGGCGTTGGACTGTTTCTGGCTGAAAACACTTTCAATTCATTGACTGAGAAAAACAGTGGGAGGATCATTATCATCTGTAGAATCATTCGACGCATTAATTAACACTTTTTACGCGTCATATAAGCTTGTAATACGCGTCAGATATGGTGTTAAATGCGTTAAATATATATAAACGTGTTAAATATATGCGTAAATGTGAACAGTTTGGTTTGCCGTACGTTTTGGGCCTAACTTGCAGCGTCGTTCTCGAGGAGGCGGCGACTCTGGATACGGCGCCTCTTAAAGCTGCAGCAGAGTCAGTAGAGCTGCTCAGTTTATTACAGCTGCATAACTAATGTGTAATATATTTGTCATTGCCTTTTTTATTCACTTTCTATCACTGTTCACTCTTGTTGTGTTGTATTATCACTACGTGTTGGACACAGCGTGTACGTGAACGCAGATCAACAGAAAGTCAAACTTGGTTTTCACGAGACAGGAAACTGAGCGTCTTGCTCCTTTAATACGGTCTTCTAGACAGTTTAGAATTCTTTACAATTGTGGCGTGAAAAGCTCGAGTGAAACTGGAAAACAAACAAATAAAATGTACATTAGCTTAGAAGTGACCCAAATCCGATTTTTTGTCTCTATGTTCCTGTATCTGATCTTTTATTGACAGTCTGAACGACACAGATCTGATATTTTCAAATGTGACCCAGGACACTTGGATATGTGCTCCTGAAACTGATACATATCTGATCTTTTGACATGTGACTTCAGTGTGAACGGCCAAAGTGCATTCATCCACCTACACGTTATCAACAAGACACAAACATCACTATTCTGCGCTGAAGTAGGCGGAAACCGGAACTGTAAAATCTCCAGGTGCTCGATGCTGCGTCCATGTTTGGACAACTTCTGGAAACACAGAGACGCTCACTGCGGTTGACGCATGGGGTTGACGTCGTCGTGTCTCCAGTGTCACATGTGGGACACTTTCGGGCCATTTAACCCTTCCAGACCGACGGTATCGTATACGATACCGGCGGACATGTTTTACATAACTTTTTAACCATAAAAGATAGAGACTTAATTTTTTTTCCTCGTATAGATAAGACCCGTGGCTTTACGAGCATCTTTCCGGCATCATCCTACGTCACACGCACGCTGCGTGGTGACGTAGTGAAAACAGGCGTCCAATAGGAACTTCGCTCTTCGGCGCATGACGCACTCCATCCATTTTCACTGGCCCAAACTTTGCCAAAGATTGTTGTAAGTCAAGATAGTTACTCCTCTGAGCGACTGTGCTCATAGCATTTGATAAAGCAGACCTAAGTACCATTATTTCTCAAGTAAATGGCAGATTACGCATCTCGGTGTGCGTAATTGCGCATCCCTTACTATTTTTATTTGAAAAGTTGTTTTTTTTACTTGCAAATGATACATAATACACCCAACAGGATGTAAACAGCCTAGTGCCGAGCAATGAATCGGGTGCGCGCGGGTGTGAGCAGGTGCGCGCAGATGCGCGCTTGGCGTACACACATTCGTGTGCCAAGGCATTTGTTGTTTTGCGCACAGAGGATAAAGAGCTCCGGGAAGTCTCTCAGAAGAAAGAAAGAACGAACAGAAATGGCACGAACAGAAATGGCACACAAAGCGTCACTTTCCTTGCTGGAAGCAGTGGCGATGGTAACGGAGCCTGGCAGTGACGCCGAGTCCGATGTGGTCACTTTTTATACAGATGAAGAGTTGGATTACCTGGAGGATCTGGACCCTATTGAAGAGTAAGTAGCAAATATTTCATAGTTATTTAGAGCAAACATCATGCAACACTTGTAGTAAACGGGCGTAAATACATAATAGTAGCATGCGTAATGCCTATTTACGCATTGTTTGGATACAGTTTTATTTGATGCGTGAGGGGTCATTTAGGTGGGGGATGAGATTGTGAACTTCAGACAACTGTTTACCTGTGTTGCACTAGACTTATGACATGTATGTTGTTGTTTGTAATAACGAGCTACAAACTACATGTGTAAAGTGGATGAAGTGGTTTGGGAGGTGTGGATGTCCTAATTAGTGAGGTCATAATCTGTTGACACCATTTGGGTGGGGGATGGGGTTGTGCATTGTGTTTGCCCCTGCTGCACTAGACTTAGACTTGTTGTAGTCCATATGTAATACACAAGTTTTACACAAACTAACATTTTTTCCTTTTCTTTTGTTTAGTGCTGAGTCAGAGGATGTTCCTCAGGCTCCTCCAGATTCCCCTGTGCCATTCACTTCAGGTGTCTCCCCAGCTTCATCAGTGTCTACAACCCCAGCCACCCATCCAGAACCATCAACACCTTCAACACCTACGATCTCCTCTGAGAGCAGGAGGAGGGGCAGGGATGGAGGGCATGGAAGATCCAGATCTCCACTCCTCAGTACTTCATCTCCATCACCACACTTACTAACCACCACACCAGGAAGATCGCAGCAGGCAAGGATCATATGGGAGGCTGTCATGTGTGCACTGCTGACAAACACAGGGGAAGAGGCAGTGTACTGCATGGAAATGCAAGGCCTGTGATGTGGCACTATGCCTGGTGCCTGATAGGAACTGCTTCCATGATTGGCACTAGTGAAGGACTTGGACGAGTGCACTTTTTTTTGTTTTGAGGGCAAAAATGACATTTTTAGAATACCTACAAACTTCATACTTTGCACCTTTGTAGCTAAGACCCTAAACTAAGTATTTATTATGTCTAAAAAGTTGTTTATACATGTTTGCTGTGTGTTTTGAATAAAGGAGTGTGAATATTATTTTCCGTTTTTTTTTTTTCCTTTGTATTTCTAGTGCTATAGCTTTTATTACAGCCATATGACACAACTACAGCACTCAGATTGTGAAAGAACAGGTTGTACTGAAAAAAAGGATGTATAGCACTTAATTAGGGGATAAAAGGGGGAGTTTTAATAGCAAAATTAGGAAAAAAATCCAGGCGAGGACAAATGTACCAAAAATGCCCTTAGGTCTGGAAGGGTTAATGTTCACACTGGAGTCACACACAAGTCACATTTAATTGGAAATGTGAACGACCTCGCAAAAACATCGGATTTCACAAAAAAATCGGAATTGAGCATTAAACCCTGCAGTCTGAACGTCGACTAACTGACTTCTGTCTCTGTTACCCATAACAGGAGGGTTTCAGTCACGTGATCACGATGACGCGCGAATTTCAGGTGGAGGGCAGGAAGTGAACGACAAACACGACAAACAAACACGGCTCTGGAGAACACAGATATGGAGGAGAGTTCTTATTGTCAGGATTTAGAGCCAGTAGCGAGGCAAAAGTACGAGCAGTTAGTCGACAAATATATTGGGCGTGACCCTGTGGGGTTTTTTTTTTGGAAGGTTCAGTGTGTGTCCTAGAAAGAAGCACAAAAGATGGAGGATCTGAGAAACAGGCCACTTTATTTCAGCATTTTCCATTCAGAGATTCAAGTTGATCACCAAGTACAACTGTCACCTCTGCCCAACTCACAACGAGGAGTAGCTTTATACCACACATCTGACAAAACATTAACTTGTTGATTTAGCATATACAGAAGAAAATGAACAATAATGTTGACCCGGTGCACTTTATCAGGGGTGGGTACATGCCACGGGGTTCACATACATCAGTTTTCTGCTTCGTGGCATCTCAAAGTACAGAAAAACATGTCTTTTATAGCACTACAGATAGTCATACGTGTTTTTCACCCTGTTGTCATTCCAAGGTACAAAATATTGGGTGAATCAGCACGATCGACACAGAATATTTCCCACAACCCCAATCTTATTGAAAATGAGAGAATTTTCAACCAAAGTAAAAGATTTGCCGACAATCGAGGCAAAGGAGATCACAAACTATTGAGCTCTTCAGACGTCGTTCTACACCAGACAACAGATGAAGGCAAAGTACAAAAGTTTGGAGACATAGAACTCTTTTTGTCAGTGGATGGATCCTCAACCTCGGTGCAAAACGCCTAAATGATGATTATGGTTTGGTCTTGGCCGGGGTGAGTGTTTCTCTTATTTTATGTGTATAGACGTTATGGGAAAAACTGCAGTGTATCAGCAGTGACCGATTTATCTGAACTATTTAATGTCAGCAAACGTCATTCGTCGTTAATGATTCGTTTATGTTTAGGTAAACCACAAAAAACTATTTATCTTTGTAACAAACCTTTGATGAAGTGGTCACTGCAGACACGAGCGTTTGCGGATTCTGCTCCTCCCGACCGTAAACAGGTTTGTAATCCACTTTTTACAGCGTTGTTCTGTCTCATTTCTGACCTTTGTGGACGACTATATTTGGTACTCTAAAAAAATCGCTTTTCCTTCTCTCGGTTGGAACGATTGGCACATCGACATTTTCCTCCAGTCGCTTCACTTCCTGCCCTCCGTCTGATTTTATGCGCTGACAAACGTCGCCCTGTGACGTCACGTGAAACCCATAATGCATTGTGACCACTTCCTGAGGCCTTCAAAATAAGATGCAAGTAAACCAAAACTAGAGCGCATAGCGATTATTTTTAACAAATGGCAAGTTTTTAGCATGAAATTATAACAGATGAATTAGAACATAATTATTACTAAATTATTATAAATCTTTTGAACTCTTTACTGAAACACACTTTTACTGTGGCAGAAAACTTATGTTTAGAGTTTGTTTATTATGTCCATGTGTATTTGTTTTGTACAGTTGCAAAGTTATTGACGATACATTTTTTATGCCTTTGTTTCCCACGGAACCACACACACACCATTTTCTGCCAAATACAGGATACTCAATAAAGCACATTTATCTAAGACATCTGACAACACCTCCTTAGTATATTTTACTGTGTTTTCATGTTCACAAGAGACACTGAACTGTCATTCCACCACAGCCCAAACCCAGGGAACAGAGGCTCAGTGAAGGAGGAGGTGAAGGTGTAGAGATGGATCAGTTCATCAGTTTTACAGTACCCCACCTCATAGAAGGACAAAGATCCAGCCTCAGTGTCCAGGAACACACCCACTCTGGCATCATGTAATGAAAGTTCTTGTGGAGACTCCATGTATTTTTCTGAGCCGTTGTGTTTGATGCTGTATTGTCCCTCACTGACCTGTAGACTCCAGGACTGATCGTTTTCTCCAAACTTACTACTCTCCTCTCTTGTTCCTCTCCGTCTGATTCTTCTGTAACTCACTGCTATATCGACCTCCCAGTTACACTCCACCTCCCAGTAACAGCGCCCCCTCAGGCCAGAGGAGCTCAGGACCTGAGTCTGGTCTGTGAATCTGTCCTCATGATCTGGATACAGCTGCTCCTCTTTCTCACTGGTGACTCTCTGTTTGTCCTCAGACAGTTTGAGTTTTCTGTGAATTGTGTTTGGGTCCAGAGAGAACTCACAGGAGTCTGAAACACAAACAGCTGAATTAAAACTACAAATACAACAGGTCAAATTTAAAGAAACTAGAGATGGTTCTACTTTGTCTCTGACCTACAATATGTTGTTCATTTATAACAAAATAAAAATAGACAATAATATTTTCTTTGGACTTCCCTTGAGTTTTCTGTTTCTGCTTTGGACTGAGGACTCACATTTTCTGAGACCTGGGACCATCCAACACTCTCCAGCAGGATCCAACCTGAAACACACAAGTCCAGTTTAGACCAGACCAGAGACCAGGTTCTGGACCCACCATGGACCAGAGACCCACTGAACCAGGACCCACACCTGACAGACAGCAGGGGGCAGTGTGGTCTCACCTGACAGACAGCAGGGGGCAGTGTGGTCTCACCTGACAGACAGCAGGGGGCGCCGGTTCCGTAGAGCGGTCAGGAGCTCTGCTGAGGGTCCTGGATGGTTGTAGCTCAGGTCCAACTCTCTGAGGTGGGAGGGGGCGGAGCTCAGAGCTGAGGCCAGAGCAGCCCCGCCCCTCTCTGAGACCAGACATCCAGACAGCCTAAAGACACAGCATTACACTCATGTGGACACAAGGGGGCAGAGTGCATCATGGGAGCGTCTCACCTGAGCGTCTCCAGTCTGCAGGGGGCGCTCTTCAGTCCAGAACACAGCAGCTCCACTCCTGAGTCCTGGAGGTCGTTGTGACTGAGATCCAGATGTGTGAGACTGGAGGAGCTGAGGACTGAGGCCAGAGGACCACAGCTGTGAGGAGACAGACCACAGCCACAAAGACTGAGGACAGAGAGGGACATTAGAGACTAGAACCTCCACACAAGAGTTTAAATACAGTCTGGACTCACAGGGCTTTGGTGGAGGCTCTGACCACCGGCAGCAGACACAGGAGAGCTGTCTCTGAGGCCTGGTATTTCCTCAGGTCAAACTCCTCCAGGTCTGAGTCTGAGGACAGTAAGATGAAGGACAGAGCAGACAACTGAGCAGGAGAATTTATCCAGAAAAGTTCTCCTTCTCTCATATACTTCTGTATCTCCTCCAGCAGAGTGTGGTCGTTGAGTTCGTTCAGACAGTGGAGCAGGTTCATTCTTCTCTCTGCAGACAGACTTTCTTCATCCAGCTTCTCTTTGATGAACTTTACTGTCTCCTGATTGGATCCGTTTACTTCCTGTGAGAGTCAGCAGACCCTGCAGCAGCCTCTGATTGGTCGGCAGAGACAGCCCCAGGAGGAAGCGCAGGAACAGGTCCAGGTGTCCGTTTGGACTCTGTAAGGCCTGGTCCACAGCAGAGCGGTAGAAGACTTCAGGGTCTGGACTCTCAGAGGAGTGTGGTGTCTCCAGCAGGTTCCCTCGAAAGCTGAAGAAGGTCTGATGGACGTGAAGAGCAGCCAGAAACTCCTGCACACTCAGATGGATGAAGCAGTAGACCTTGTCCTGGTACAGGCCTGGCTCCTCTCTAAAGACCTGTGTGAACACTCCGGAGTACACTGAGGCCGCTGCAGCGTCCAGCCCACACTCGCTCAGGTCACTCTCGTAGAAGATCAGGTTTCCTTTCTGCAGCTGCTCAAAGGCCAGTTTTCCCAGAGACTTCACCATCTCCCTGGTCTCTGGAGTCCAGTGAAGGTCCTCCCCTGATCCCTGGTGATACTTGATGTTCTGCACTTTGGTATGCACCACCAGGAAGTGGACGTACATCTGTGTGAGAGTCCGGGGCAGCTCTGGTTCCTCTGTTTGTTCCAGAAGCTTCTGTAGAACTGTGGAGAGGATCCAGCAGAACATCGGCATGTGGCTCATGATGTGGAGGCTGCGGACGCTCTTGATGTGGGAGATGACGGCTGTGGCCTGGTCTCTGAAACTCTTCCTGAAGTACTGCTCCTTCTGCGGGTCAGTGAACCCTTGCACCTCTGTCACCATGGAGACGCACTCAGCAGGGATCTGATTGGCCGCGGCGGGGCGCGTGGTTATCCAGAGGAGAGCGGAGGGAAGCAGGCTCCCCCTGATGAGGTTCACCAGCAGCACGTGCACTGAGGCGGACTCTGTGGGGTCGGTCAGGACCCGGGTTCGGCCGAAGTCCAGAGGAAGTCTGCACTCGTCCAGACCGTCAAAGATGAAGAGCACCTGGAGCTGTTGGAAGCTGCAGAGATGTTTGGATGGACTGAAGAAGTGGTGCAGCAGCTCCACCAGGCTGAACTGTGTGTCTCTGAGCACATTGAGCTCTCTGAAAGTGAACGGGAAGTGAACGGGAACAGCAGCTGGAGGTCCTGGTTGGCCCCGCCTTCCAGTCCAGACTGAACTTCTGAGTCAGCACTGTTTTCCCCACGCCGGCCACGCCAATCTGATTGGCTGCTCTGTGTTCTCTGTTCTCACTGCTGTATGTGCCTCTTTCATGTTGTTTTATCTGGTTTACTTTTACCAAATAGTTTATTCGTTATTGACTTCAATTCCTTTTCTTTTGACAGCTCTGCTCTGATTGGCTGTGAAATGGGGTTTTAAAGAGGTCACATGTGCTGGAGTCTCTGGAGCGGCTGGACGGTCTCCTGGACGCCATCTCCATGTGTCTGACCTCATGTTCCTGGTTGACCTCTGAGGCTCCGCCCTCTGTGATGTAGAGCTCTGTGTAGATCTGGGTCAGGGGGGCGGAGTCTCCTGCTTTAGCCACGCCCTCAAACACACGACTGAATCTCTGCTGCAGATGCCTCTTCAGTTTCTCACAGTGAACTCCAACTTCAGTCCCTGAGGAGAGACAACAGAGGCCCTCAGTGAACTCACAATCTCCAAATGACACAGAACTATGAGAACACAGCAGGTTTACCCCACAGTCCTCTGCTCAGCCACTTTTTCTCTCCAATACAAATGTGTCAAATACAGTTTATCTTTAACTCATTTGACATTGTATTTGGATTTCTTGTCATTTTGGATCAATATTTGAAAAATACAAACTGTTTGAAAAAGTGGACAAGAGTTTACTGAATGTTCGTGTAACACATTATTATTATTGTTTTGTTTGTTGTTGTTGTGTTGTGTTGTTGTTGTTGTTGTTGTTGTTGTTGTTATTATTATTATTATTATTATGTTTCTAGATGCATTATAATAAATACACAGATAAGAACAGTCCTGGAGGTTCAGCTGCATAATAAATAAGTTGTAGAAGTAAAAACAAACAGCCACAAAAAGCCCTGTTTGTACAAAGAGGGAGTCAAATATATCGTCCAATAAATAAACTATGTAGGTCTTGGTCTCTCTAATTTGATTCCAAAATGGCTCAGTTACATGTAATTAATGTGAGTCTAAATAAATATAATAATTTGCAAATAAGAGCTCAGTCGCACGGAGGAGCTCGGAGTAGAGCCGCTGCTCCTCCACGGAGAGGAGCCAGTTGAGGCTCGGGCTGCATCTGTTTCCGATGCCTCCTGGGCGTCTCCCTCAGGAGGTGTTCCGGGCATGTCCCACCGGGAGGAGGCCCCAGGGAAGACCCAGGACACACTGGAGGACTATGTCTCTCGACTGGCCTGGGAACACCTCGGGGTCCCCCCGGAGGAGCTGGAGGACGTGTCTGGGGTGAAGGAAGTCTGGGAGTCTCTGCTTAGACTGATGCCCCTGAGACCCGACCCCGGATAAGCGGAAGAAAATGGATGGATGGAATTTGCAAAGTAGTTTACGTAATGACTGGCGTTGTTAAATTATTGACTAAATATTGACGTCCATCCCAAGTTTGTTTTGTCTCACCATAAAAGTGACGCACACGACTGAATTCAACTACAAGATTTATTTATAAAATTATGATTTTACTTTCCGAAATAAAAATAATATAAAAAGTTTAAAAGCTCAGGTCTAATCAGGTCTTTGGGACTAATGAGCATTTAATATAAAATGTGCTTCTGAAACTACTTAGCACGTAGCTGTTTACCCTCCACAAAACATTTATTACTATTTGAATTTTTTTAAAGTCTATGGGAAAAATGAATGGAAAACGTTCTTCCATAACTGGAGTGAACTTCCAGGTGGATGGGAGAGTTGAGCTCAATGGGAATGAAAGTGGGTGAAGAATTTCACGATAGTTTGTTCTTAGTTGGAGGATTTACCTGTTGTACGTGCGTTTGGGTTGTTCTTACTGTTCTGCAGACGCTGGGCCAGATGCTCCTGGTCCATCTTCTTCAGGAAGTCCAGGGTGATGTTCAGAACCTCTGTGCTCAGCTCCTCACCCTCAGAGCATTCTGGGTAATCTGAGGCCAGGAGCCTGTGGAGCCTCTGCAGCTGCTGTTGGACATAAAACCAGGACCTGCTCCTCCAGAACCTGAAACACCACAGTTTGGACTAAAGTATTGTGCTCCAGGATGGAAAAGTTCCAGGTGAACTTTTTCAAAAACAAGAAAACAAAAGTCTTGTGCTTTCTCTATGGATGTCTCTGTGACAGCAAAGACTGCTCAGCTCCTTTTCTAATGGTTTCCTGGACAACAGGCGTCTTTCACCTGTAAATAGTGATTTTATTTTGTAGTGTCTGTATGTGGATTATTGTACATGTCATGGCAGGGTAATAACACCAGAGCAGACCCACCAAGGCTGGAGACTGAAAGGCTACTGGAAAGGCATATGGGAGGGAGGCATCACATAACACTGATGCACAGTGGCTGGTGGATCTGAGAGAAGACCACAGCAACCTCCCTGAACAGAATCCAGTCACCCCTGGATGTCTGCCACTGTGATGAAGAGTCTCAGGTATGAAAAACTGGACCAGGCCCTGACATGATCCCCTGAATGGCTCATCCAAGGGCGTACGATCCTGATCCTGAAGGATCTCTCAAAGGGTGCAGTCCCATTCAACTATCGGCCAATAACCTGTCTCTCCACGACATGGAAGCTCATGTCAAGCGTCATCACGGCTAAGATAAGCAGCACATGGTTCAATACATGAGTGCAGCACAGAAGAGCAATTGGCAAAAAACACTAGGGAAGACAAACACCAACTCATGGATCACTGAGTGCTTGGAGCTGTACAACATCAACAGGACTCTAAGGGCGTTCATCGCAAACTCGATGTGGTTGTGGAAAACCACCCTTGAAGCCAATGGGAAGCCACTTACACAAGTGTCTATCAAATGTGGCATATACCAAGGAGACTCACTGTCCCCATTGCTGTTCTGCATCTGAACCCCCTCAGCCAAATCATCGACCGCACTGGCTACGGATACCGACTCAGAAACGGGGCCACCATCAGTCACCTCCTCTACATGGACGACATCAGCTGTACGCTAAGAGTGAGCGAGACATCGACTCACTGATCCACACCACAAGGATCTACAGTACAGACATTGGAATGTCATTCGGGCTTGAGAAATGTAGCAGGATGGTGACAAAGAGAGGGAAGGTAGAACACACAGAGGGGGTCTCACTCCCAGAGGGAACAATAGCAGACGTTGAGGACAGTTACAAGTACCTTGGTGTCCCACAAGCAAATGGCTCCTCGAAGAGGCAGCTACAGCCAAATACCTGCAAAGAGTGAGACAAGTCGTAAGAAGCAGCTCAATGGAAGAACAAGGTGCAGGCGATAAACAGCTACGAGGACTAGTGAGTGTGGGAACCACTGTCCAGGATGAAACATCCAAGCTCCATGAGAACATCAAGGACAAGGCCCCAACAGATGAGGAGCTCAGAGAAGGTCTCAGACAGTGGGGTCCAGAGGAAGAGGAGCTGGAGGGACCATCATGGCAGGACAAACCCCTACATGAACCACCGGAACAGAACTGAAGAGGCTGATATCAAGAAAATCCTCCCAATGTCTTGAGAGGTCTGAAGGACAGCACAGAGGCTCATCCTGGAGCTCAGGAGCAGGACCTGAGCATCCGGGAAATAGAGGCCCAGATCTACCACACCAGACCAGAGTCACGGTGTCGACTGTGCAAAGAGGCTCCTGAGACAGTCCAGCACAGAACTGCAGGTGTCAGATGCTGCAGGGAAACAAACATGGAACCACAGAACCAAGTGTCAGGCAGAGTGTACAGAAACATCTGTGCAGAGTACAGGCTGGAGATCCCAGGATCAAGGTGGAAAACACCTCCAAAGGTGGTGAAGAATGACCGAGCCAAAATCCTGTTGGACTTCAGATACAGACTGACAGGATGGTGATGAACCAACCAGACATAGTAGTGGTGGAGAACAGAGCAGAGCCGTGGTGGTGGACATCGCAATACCAGGAGATGGTAATATCAGGAAAAAAGAACACGAGAAACTAGAGAAATACCAGGGGCTCAAGGAGGAGCTGGAGAAAGCCTGGAAAGTAAAGGCATCAGTGGAGCCTGTGGTGATCAGACACTCGGGGCTGTAACCCCCAAACTGGAAGAAACTACAACAGAAACCAGGAAAAACAACAGAACATCTCAGTCCATAAAAGTGCAAAACAGAAACAGCAAAAGATACTGAAGATACTCTCAAACTCTCAATATTTGTTGATGATAAAAAAAGAAGTTCAGAGTTTTGTCACACTTGGACTTCCTCCTGTTTCTTTAGTTCTTCCTCCGGCAGTTCCAGACTTTCCCCACACCGGTCTGAGCCCAGACCTAGACCTGGTTCAGTCCTGGTTTAGTCCTGGTTTAGACCTGGTTTAGACCTGGTGTAGTCCTGGTTTAGTCCTGGTTTAGACCTGGTGTAGTCCTGGTTTAGACCTGGTTTAGTCCTGGTGTAGACCTGGTTCAGTCCTGGTTCAGTCCTGGTTCAGTCCTGGTTTAGACCTGGTTTAGACCTGGTTTAGACCTGGTTTACACCTGGTTTAGTCCTGGTTTAGTCCTGGTTTAGACCTTAGACCTGGTTCAGTCCTGGTTTAGACCTGGTTTAGTCCTGGTTTAGACCTGGTTTAGTCCTGGTTTAGACCTGGTTTAGACCTGGTTTAAACATGTCACGTTTGGGCCAAAACGGCACAAAAAATAGAAAAATAAATAAATAAATATCTCCAAAGAAAACTGAACAAAAACAGATTTTCCACGATTACACAAATAATTTAATTGCAAATGTAGTTAATTTATTATATGTAAATTTTTTACTTTTAACTTTTTTCTGTTTTTTTTTTATTTATTTATTATTTACTTTTTTACTTGGTATGTATATATATATATATATATATATATATATATATATATATATAATATGATATATATATATATATATA